GTTGTTTCAGCTTTCTTACTTCACATAATAATGCAACGGGAAACAATAATTTTAGACAATGGTGGCTATACTCTTAAGATAGGAACAAGTCGAGATATTGAACCGAAGTGAGTAGTTGTTTTTCATTCCTATGAGTTAAGTTGTTTTTATGCTTTAGAGTCATTCCAAATTGCATTGCAAAGGCGAAAGCAGATCGCAAACGGGAATTCGTTGCTGACGAACAATCGGAATGTGTTGATAAGACAGGCTTATTCTACGTGTTACCGTTCGAAAGAGGTTATTTAGGTCAGTGAAGCAGTGCTATTATTAAGAATCAGATATTGAATCAGAACCGGATTATCCATATAATCCAAGTCTCTTTTTAGTAAACTTCTTTTATCAATCTGCATAACATGCTCTGCGAACTGTTATCATAAACATTAACCTCTGAAACCTTGCAAACTTCTGCATTCTTTTTTGATTAGAGGCTCTTTCAGAAACCCATATTCTTTTTGGAATCTCCAGAAATTTCTAAAATGTTAATAGATTACTTTTACTGAACTAAGGAGGAGCTTAAAAACATTGCTATTATTACCTTTGCAGTCAATCCAGACGTTGAAGAACAGATATGGGAGCACGTTTTTGAATCCTACCCTACCAAAGACTCGCGGATAGTGCTTTCCGATCCCAATTATCTAATCCCTGCCATTGAAGATGTTAGTGTGGAGGTGCTTTTTGAGCAGCATGAGTTCCACTCCGTTTTCAAAGCCTCATGTACGCCTTCTCAATGACTTCGTTTGTTTCAATCTCAACATCATAATAAGAACTTTTTTCCAGCGGCGGGATTTATAGCTCTAGAAGGATCTTGTCGCAACATTCGTTGCGCTCTTGTTGTTGATTGCGGATTTTCATCGGTCACTGTTGCTCCATTTCTTGATGGAAAAGCCATTCAACAAGGACTTGTCAGGCAAGAAATTTTTGCATATCCACCATACTCTGTATTGCATTTGAAAGAATTTGCAGAATTGACGTGGGTGGCAAAGTTCTAACAAATCAACTGAAGGAATGGATTTCTTACCGAGATCTCAATGTTCTGGAAGAAACTTTTATCATGAATCAGTGCAAAGAAGACGCCTGTTTCGTATCACTCGACTTCAATCGGGATATGAAAATTGCTAAGTAGGTTTACTTGTCTTTATTGTTTTTCTACTTTCGACACATTCCCACTGAATGCACAACCTATTATAGATATCGGGATGCACGCAACACTATTCGTCAAGAATATGTATTACCGGATTTTTGCCGATTATCCCGGGGATATCTGAGGAACCCATTGCAAACTGCAAAATCATCGCAAGTAGAGGATGCACTTCAAGCCATTACCATCAATCGAGAACGTTTCGCTCTTCCTGAGCTCTTGTTCCAGTTAGTCATCACTGGTTTATCTCGTTTATCTATCTTTCATTAGATACCATTAGAACTTCAAAAATAAGTGGAATGTACGATTATTTCTTTCCCGGGATGTAGCCAACAAAAGCTAGGCAGATCTGGAAATGTCACTAAAAAGATTTTTTAACCCATTGAAAACTGTGCGTTCACTGGTGGGTCACGCATTTTGAGATAATTGAACCATATGTCCCACGGCTGGGTCACACTTTGCTAATCGCATATGTTGCTCCATTTTGGACTTTTACATATTTTCAATGTATACAGATGAACAGGTGATTTACCTCTATATCGTCGTCAACTGATATACTAATCTAAAGTGACTGTTTACTGCCTCTCTTCACGCATCTTCCGTTACAGATCTTCCCGTTTCGTAAAAACTTCATTCCAGCCCCTCGGACATCGGCCTAAATCAAATGGGCGTAGTCGAGGCAGTTGTGGAGTCTCTCTCAAGATGCCCCATAAATCTGAGAGCTGCCTTGGTGCAGAACATATCCCTTGTAGGGGGATGCACATTATTTCCCGGATTCAGAGAGCGATTGTATGTTCCAAAAGTGTTAAGACAGCTTGAATTTACCGCAGAATTTTTCTTTTACAGCATTACAGACCTGCGGTCATACATGGATGTGGATTGGTGCGTGAATCTCGCCGATGTCTCAAATCCTATCACACACGCTTGGTCGTGCGCAGCTGCAGCATTTACTGGAGATATGGCAACTGAAGACCAACTCTTTGTCTCTCGAGATGAGTGGAATGAACATGGCGAAGAAGTTCTGCACAAGAAATTCCTCAACTTTTTGGACTTTGAATCTGAAGAAGCAGAGGAAGCGTCTGATGATCCAAACGAATAGTCCCAAGTCTCCTTGGTTACAGGAAAGGAAGTAACGCTAAAGGCACAATTTGCTATTACAATAATCCGTGCAGCGTTTCTCGCGGTTGTGGCGCTGCTATTGAACTGACAAGATTATTGCTCCAATATGACTGCGAGCTGCTATAGATCAAAATAGTTTGTTTTAAAGAGTGGTTGCGGCTCACCGTTCATCGCGCGGTTTGCGGGCATGTTATTCTCGACAAATTGTGGTTGCGAATACTTTTTGGATAGGCTTCAACGAATTACAAAAAGCAACTTGATAATAGCATCAAAAGTGAAGAGGTTAAGCTTAAAAATTGAGGCCGTTTTAGGGGAGTCAAGTCGTTTCACGGTAGCTTTTAGGCAAATTAAGTATTGTCTTGAATTATCTGTTGTTTCCAAATCGTAAACCTTCTTACGTGATCTGATTTGATTGGATAGCTGCAAGAATTTGAAATACACGATCCTCTTGTGTCTTTTGTATTGTCTTTATTGGTTAATCGTTGATCATACATACTCAAAAAGCTTGCTCTTGTGATGATCAGCAACAAATCATCTTAACCAATAAATTTGCTCAAGTTTTTTAGCGTAAGGTTTAGCTTATGCAACAATAATTGGCGAGAAAGGTTTAATGACGTTTTAAAAAGGTTCTTTCTTTATTGACTGCCAAAATTGCAAGGAAAAGAGAAAATGAAGATCTCAGTTGGTGAGAGCGCAAGCAGGGAGAGACATCCAACCAGCGCAAGCACGGAATTAATGGCGTGGTTTTCTAAGTAGTCCGTGCCGCGTTTACGACAAATAAGCGCGAAGAAGCAGCCGTTGC